ATATATATATATATATATATATATATACACACACACACATACCATAGGAAACGGAGTATTAATTACATTTACCGGCCTGAATGTGTCCTCTGTCAGGAATCAAACCTGTATCTTATACGGAACCTCCATTAAGCCTGGCATGCTATGTCCATTCAGCCACATTTCCTATATGTTGTCATTGTTTATGTTAAGATACAAAATTAGAGCAGATATTGACATAGCATCCTAGGTTTAAAGGTGGTTCTGTATAGGATATAGACTAGATTCCTGTCGAAGGACGCATATTTTCTACAAAACTTCTCAAACATTCAGGCCAGTAAATGTAATTAATACCGTTTACTTAAAAGAACAGAACACTTATTCAAATAAGTGTATCCATAAAATCGTATAAACAGAATATATATATATATATATATATATATATATATATATATATATATATATATAATAATTTTTTTAGGCACTCCCCAACTACAGCCATTTACTCCTGATGTAACATTATCTTATTTAAGTTTTGGTGTGTAATTTAATTTGCTGTATTAACCACCTGAAGTAACCTTGACAGTCAAAACTGTGGTCATGTTTCTATCCAGTGTCTAAGGATTTTATTACCTATATATTTATTAATAGCTCTACAGTTTAGTGTTTCTACCTTCTTATTGAGCACTTTTTTATTACACACGTTTTTAAACAGCCCTTTTTAGTGTTTGTTCACTTGTTATATATATATATATATATATATATATATATATATATATATGTCTGTGTGTAAAAATTTCAGATCAAGTATATCTTTAAAAAAACAATATGAATAAAGACAAAAGGAAAACTTATCTTAGCCAACACGTTTCATCTTCTGAGGGACTTTATCAAGGCAAAAGTGAGAATTTTATTTTGTAACAAGTATTTATATACAAGAGCAGAAATGATATTGATTTTACAAAATTTTTAGGTACAGGAACAATCATAAATTAATATTTTTGCATATATGCAAATTAGTATTTAAATTATTTTAGTTTGGGACTAATTTATGTGTTATATATTTTGAATAATGTAAGTTTATGGCTTTAACCATTTTCTTTTATTTTTTTTAACATTTTTGTAGTCATGTATATTGGCTTGGGAAAATAGTAACTCTTTCAGAGATATTTGTAAAAATCAGGAGAACAGTAAGTTACTTTCTGTTTTAATACATGTGGCATTCTTTATATCAAAGTTATAGTTGAATTTATTTCTAAGTATAACTAATGCATTTGATAAATTTTTGTGTATAATGCATCAAATACATATTCAGATATAAATAAAAATACATCTGTAAAAAGACAATGTGGGAAAAAAAAAAAGGTAAACCTTTCTTTTTTTTTTAAAACCTAAAGCAATTTTTACGTGTTTATAAATACTTGCTGCAAAATAAATTCCTTCAGAGGACAAAATGCAGCAATAAAAAAAGCATTCATTTTGTCTTTATTTCATTTTATATATATATATATATATATATATATATGTATGTATGTATGTAAAGTAAACAAAATCAAAACCAGCTAATAATAAAGGACAACAGGCTTCATGCTTCAATACTTCCATTGTAATCAGAAATATCTATTAAGATAGATTCACCCTTTTGAACATATTATTTTACTAATACTTAAATATAAATGACTAGTACGTTAAGAGGCATTAGATTATAGTTACATGAGAAGAGATCAAAGTAACAATCCAGCACTGATCAGACACAAGATCAAAGAATCAAGCCATGGTAAATTGAGAACCTTATATGATATCACCTCTCTAAGCAATTCTAGAAGTAATTTTCAACACTCATCTTTAAATTATTAGGTAACCAAAAAAGTCCTTGTTGTGTTTTTACATCGTGTGGGAAGAAGTGATTACTGATATACAAATGAATATTGTTACATAGCTGGAAAGTGGTGGGGGTTGGGTTTGAGAATTGCTCTTGACCAATACAGGTGCATTGCACACATACATCAGTCATAGCTTGAGCAGCAGTGAGGAAACATGGCTGTGTCAAAGCTGCTTGTTCGAGGTTGTCCAATTTATGACTTTAAGGTATGCTCATCTGCAGCTGCATCAAGTTTCCGAATACATCAAGCCTTTAGGTATAATTCTATGTGTGAACATAGTGCCAGGCATTGGTTCCAGAAATTCAGGTCAGGAGATCTGTCCAACCACAGGTCCTGGATGATGAGGCCCTTAAGGGAGGGCAACAGCCAAACCTGTGGTGACACACAAGATCATACTCTGTTTCTGGTGGACTAGTACACTAGTCAAGAAGTGGCAAACTATGAGCTGCTGCTAATGGACCAAACCATGACTGCAGACCTGTACTTGCAGCTGTTGGAACATGGGCAACAGGCACTGAACAGGTACTGTTCCTCCATGACAATGCCAAGCCTCATGTGGCACTGGTGGCCAGGGATACTATATGGTAATTTGGCTGTGCCACCCACCTTACTTTGTGCCACCTCTTGCATTCCCTGGACAACAACCTTCATGAAAAATCCTTTACAAATGTGGTAGACTTGTGGCAGACATTCAAACTTTTCTTGCATTCAAGATACCTGATTTTTACTGCCAGTGCATTGCATATCTGGAGGTATGTTGGCAAAAGATTCTGGATGCCAATGGGGATTACTTTGTGGGCTAACAGTATGTCAAACTTGCTCTGTCTATATTTATGAGATGAGTTATTATGTACACTATTTATATTATTCTGACTATTGTCCTCATCTTTATCGCCTTTATCCACTGTGCCATGTGTCTTTATGAGCTCTGGTAAAAATCATGCAATGATAACAGTAAAAAAAAAAATTGCAATATGAGCATGGGTAAAAAATGGTTGCTGAACACATTAGGTTTATGATACATAGGACACATGGCACAGTGGATAAAGGTGTTAGTTAGATCCAGTGACAGGACCCAAAAGAGTGTGAGTTCAATACCTGGTTAAGGCAGTGGAGAACTAGAACAGTCTACCCCAGTGAGCGAAATAAATGGTTCAGTTCAACATTCCAACCACCTGAAGAAGGCCGGAGCGTACAATGGCCAAAACGTTGTAATAAATATGGCAATAAAGATGAGGACAATAGTCTGAATAATGTAAATAGTGTCAAACTTGCTGTATACCTTTTTTTCCCTTAAATCAATAATGACAAGGACTTTTTGGTGTCCTTATATATGCATTAAATCAGAAAATAAAAATACTTAATTTGTTTGTTTGGTTGGTTTGTTTTGTTTAGAGGCATATCAAATCTAAATATTTTGGACACAATTTTGTGGCTTCAACTAAATATATTTTGAACACAATTGTGTTCAAAATGCCTTCAACTAGAGATAAAATGTATTGTCGGTTATTTTGCTATAAAATGTATTGTTGGTAATTCTACTATAAATATGTATTTTTATACTTTCATAGTGTTTTGTTTTTGTTTGGGAATTCACTATTTAATCACAGCTGGGACCATAAGAGGTGCTACCACTCTGGGTCAGGGTGGACCTGGGAAAAGCAGCAATTAAGATGTGGTTCCATGCTCTTCAAAACTTCCAATCTCCTAATCAAATGCCCTGCTATCAAATGTAGTTTATTATCATACCCAGGATGATAGCAGCTTTGTAAAAGCAGTTTCAAAAGTAGTGTAATGTAACATAACCAAAGAAAGTCAGAGTTGCATGATCAAAGGATATGTCTCTTTAACATTTATTAACATGACATAACCAATCATGTGACTAAATATATAGCATTAGGTGCTGATGTATATTAGGCCAGGTAACATTCACAGCCTTTTCACAAAGTATTATTTGTACAGGGTCCTTTTTCTATGCTTTTTGTGTCCCTAGAGATTTGGTATGAGAGGTGTAGTGGGAGAGATTAACACAGTACATACTATCAGAAGTGAGAAATCAATTTGAAATAATGAAACATTGTTCCCTGTCCAGCCTCTCCTTTTCTCTGTATTACAACAATGTCTAGCATTGCAAATAAACTAAGTGCTATTAACCACCAAACAAGTTGTGTTGTTTTTCCACTACTACCGCTATGACCCTACTGGCTTTTGTAAAACGTATTTAAATTATTACAATTAGTGCCGTAACCATGAAGGAAGTAAATTACTATATTCAGAAAACCTACCATCCAAGAAGTGAGAAAAAAGGATGTGTATGTTATCAAAAATGTAGAATTGCAGAATCTGATTTTGTGGATGATCATATAAATAAATACATCTTGCTTGACAAGAAGATCTCCACCAACATAAGTACTCATAAACAACACACATATAATATATGCTAGTAGTGGCCAAAACTTGGCTTGTGAGCCATATGTGGTTCTTTGCAGCTCATGGAAATATGCTGACCGAGCTCTTTTTTTCATCAGTTAATATAAAAAGTAAAGAAAAATTTCAAGCTTTAATGTTAATGGGTATGTAACAAAAACGTTTGTAAATTTGCTTCATGTCTTGCAGCTCTGAAACATCTGAACTTTATCATATATGGTTCTTACATTAAGCAACTTTGTCCACCCCAGCTATATAAAATTAACTGCTAAAAAGACACAAAATAAAAGATTAAACCATAAAATAAAATAAAAAATCTGAAATAAAATCTTCAATAAATGTTGAAACTGCAGTTTTAAAAGTATTCAACAATTTAAAGAAATGATCTTTGAAAGGAGCAGAAGCAAGATTAAAAGTGCTCAATCACAATCAGATAACATTCATTGGATCAAAAATATTCTCTCTCATAATATATAAACAATAAAAGTTAAATAAAATTTATTTTTAAATTCTTGTCAGTTGTTTTTAATTAAACATATCTAAATGAAAAACTGCTGCTTAAATATCTTTATAAATTAATTTTATACAAAGCTGATGAACTATGCTTTTTGCTAAAAATACTTCTTTCTATTTCTTGAAAATTAATTCCAGATTTTTGATAAAAAAAAAAACTGATGTTATGAAATAAATATTTTGGAAAGAACTCATTACCTTTGCAGTTAAGATTGATGTCAAGTTTTCTGAGTTTATACTGCCCAAGCATTTCTCTAACTTCATTTGTTTCTCCATTACGAGATGCATGCAATAATCTCTCATGAGCTGATGGAGTTTCATGAGAATCATGAATATCCTCAAATTCATTATCACTTGAAGAATTCAACATGGTTCTCTTTAATTAGTCAACACATCTGAAAAAAAATAAAATGAAAATATCATTAACTATTTTATTTTTATTCTTCTCTGTAATCATAATTTTCAGCAACATCTCAAAATCTGCTGTATTATGTTTTCTGTATTATGCATTGTTTTCAAAATAAAATATAGATTTAAAAGCCTAAGATTACTTTACATAAAAATTAATAAACAACTTGTATTGCTGAAATTGTTAATACAATGCGGATCTGCCAACAGATCTTACTAAACAAGTATTTCACCCTCTCTCCATCTTTGGAACACTGGATTTTGAATAAATTTATATTGTTTGGGAAGAAAAACAGTTGCTAATTAAATAAATTCAGTCAAGCATAACTGCTTTGTAGCCCATTTTGTTGCATTAATCAATGTATTTTTGTTTTTTTTCTGACTGATACTAATACACACACACACACACAAAACAATTATGGTAAAATTCTGACTGATGCTAATCTAACCAAAATATTGTAGACATTAAAAATATAAAATAAACAAAAAAGACATCTCTATGATGAGCTACTGACAAAAAGTGATGGCAGTGTTTAGACCAATGTGAATGTCCTTTTAAAATTAACATAGCAAAAATAGTGAAATAATCATGAAAATCAATGCCTGATGGCATTCCAAATGCAAACAAAACTATCTGCACTAGCACAACTAACAATAAGCTGCAAATCTCTTACAGAAATTATTATTCTTTTACTATAACTTCTATCATTTCATTGCAACTCTTAATTTCTTGAAAATCAATTAGAAAAAGCTAAAAAAATATATTGAAATTACCAAGATTATTGTAATTCCCAAATTGCCAAATGTGGTTTGTACACACACACACACACACATTATGGTAAAATGCTTTCATAGATCAAATGAGTGTTGGCAACCTTTAAAATCAAGCAAAATTCCATCATAACCCTAAATACGAGGGCAGTGAAAAGTTCTTGGTCCAACCCACTTCAAATAATATGAGTGCTATTTGGCCAGGGAGCTGGAGAAAATGTCCTTTTATATTGTAAAGTACCAATCTACTGCATCATTGCATTTATTTTTTAATGTTTCAAATCCTTTATTGAATAGTGTCAACAGAAAGTGTGACCTTTTCAGATTCTGAACTCTGGGCCATTATGAAATTCTTGTTCCTACAGAAGAAACTCTAAAGGAAATACATGCATAGCCTTGGTGTTAAGTCACCCTCATACTTTGAAGTGGCATGCCAATTTTCAGCATGGACAGTTTAAAACCAAACATAGAGCATGATCTTGAAGGCTGTCACTGATGTTAACTTCTGAAATTGGCCAATTAATAATTGCTGAGATACTAGAAATATTGAAATATATGGAAAGTCAATAGGAAAGGTTATGAGTATGTTTTTTAGTAAAAAGGAAGGTATTTTAATTATTATTTTTCAGGGAGACCAGATAGTTAATGCAGAATATTCTCCTAACTTGCTGTACCAATTAATGGTGGCATTGAAAAAAAAAAGGAAAGAAAATGGGAGAAAAGTGTTCTCTTTTTGCATAACAATGAATTTGCTCACAGGTCTAGCAATACAATGAAGAATTTGGGCTTTGAGTGATTAGGCCAACCACCATACATATCAGTTCTTGCTCCATCTATTTCCTGTTTCTAAACCCTAAAAGGAGTTTGAAAAGAAGAAAATTATTTGGAGCTAAAGACAGAGCAGTATTTTCTATTACTAAATATCAAAATATTTTTTGAAAGAGTTAAAGTTACTTGAGAAACAATGTGTCAAATGTGTTGAACTGCATCATGAATATGTGGAATATTATGTACATTTCATGACACATGTTTATTCACTTACTGGCCATCCACTCATAATATTGTTAAACTAATCATATTGCTAAAGCTCATCACAAATGCATTATTTCCGGTAACTATGAAAAGAGTGGTTAGAAACTGAAACCATTTCAGCAATCAAACTGTATCTGGGTTGGAATTTCCCAGCCATCTTTTTCCAGCCTTGATAGAGTTCAGAAGCATCTCCACAGTGTCACATGTGCAACAAAAGAAATAAGATAAAGAGAAGTAAATGGAATAACAAGATCAAGTAAGATTTATTGTAAACAAGAAAATGTTTTATTATAATTTTAGTGATTATGTTCAGTGGCTAAAATGGAAAAAGCAAAGGTTTGCATAAAGGTTATAAATACTTCAAAAATAACTTTTGTGGTATAGTTAACATATCAGGTCAGCAAATGGTAGTCAATGGAGTGCTCTGAAGCAGATTCTTACAACTGACTTTGTCAGCCAACTCACTTAATTTTGGCACCATATTTGTTGGTTGGCGCCAAAATTAACTGAGTTAATCTCATATAGGTACAAGTGATAATTGTTTTTTCTGACAAAAAATTAAAAAAAAAAATAGAAATCAGCTGCTTAAAAATTGTCAAGTTTTAAACTGATGCAGCAGCCTGAATTAATGTTGTTTGCTATATATTTTGTAATCCTTTCAAATTATCTCTATTTTACAAATTCAGAGTGTAGTGAAAATAAAGAAGGCCTTAACTAAAGGCTTTATTCTAACAAAATCTCTTAGTCACATACTCAACAAAATAAGAAAATAAAAACTATATATGTATATATAAAAAGTTGTAGTCTCTGTCTGTCTGCTTGTTATCAAATTCCTCCTAGGGTTTTGGAGATAGACCCCCATAACCATATAGTGATTTTCCAAGTGTAGCTCTGTTGTGGCACAAGGCCAAACCCCCATAACCATATATATTCTGAAACTATATTACCTAGGGTACTTGGATAAGTATGTTTCATTTTGATCAAAAGGGGTCCCCCAGGAGTCACAAATTTCCTACTGAAATGTTTTTTTTTAATTTAAATTTGAACAAAAGAACGACTACAATCCAAAATATAGAAGGAGAAAGCCAGAAGATGGAGGTCCCATTGACAAGATCATTGAGTAATAATAAAATGCATCATTTTTCTCCACAAATTATAACAATGATTTAAAATCAATCATCATTTTCTTGCAAAAAAAAATTGGACACACAGCAAGGCACAGGTAATTCAGCTAGTATATAAATAAAACTCAGAATAGGAATATTCCACTCCAGACTGCAGTGGCAAGGGTGAATGGACTATACCCATTATTTACAAAAGTGAACAAAAAGAAATATCATCACATTCTCCTCCTCCTTAAATTACTGCTATTGTTACAAGTCCAAATGGGTGGGTGGATGATGTATCTGCTCCAATCTCCTGGCCATTATTGCTTCCTCAGTAACATCAGGGGGAGTTGCAGGTGGGGTTGTGGTACTCTGGATAGTATTATCTGTTGTGGTTGGAGTAGCTTCAATAGTTTCTTTCGGCAGGACTGGGTAGTTATTTCCATTGGGTATCCCCTGGGATTCTCTATCAACAGGGGGCTCAATTGGGCATAGATATTTATTAGCTACTGTTGTTTCTTTACAGTTTTTGTAGTGAATGTAGGCATAGTGTGGATTTGATTCAATAAGCTCTACCTGTTTCATTAAAGGGTCAGTCTTATTCACCCAAACATGTCATTTTAGGTCCAGTGGAAGAACAGTGGGGTAACTAAACAGCCTCTCCTGTGATGTTGTATTAGTCATTGTGTAGAGTAACAAGCAAATTGAATGTAAAGCATTGGGCAAGACTTTTTACCAATGTTGTGCAGAGAGACCACATGACCTCAAAGCCATGGGGTAATTGTTCTCCATATAAAGCCATTATATATTTCTAACCGGCCATTACCATGAGGATTATAACTCATAATCCTACTACAAGCAAACCCTTTCACAATCATAAAAGCCACATTTCTCTGCTCATGAAGGATGGGCAGGCATACCATAAATGGAGAACTACTGAGATAATAATGGTTGAAGCAGTCATATCTGCACATGGGATCACAAAAAGGAAACTTAGAGTATTCATCTATAATGTTGAGGAAATAACGATTCCTATTCATGCAAGGCAATGGTCCCTTAAAAATCTGTTCAATTGCTCAACGGGCTGAGTAGCTTTAATCAGGTGCATAACTTCTGGCCGAGGAAAGTTTGGCTTTGGATTTCAGTACATATCCAACAAGATTTTATTTCTTGTTGCATATCCTCTACTAAATAAAGCATATTCTATATTTTTGGCAAGATGAAATAAGTGTCTAACTCTTGGGTGACATAAAACCTCATGGAGATTTAATAAAGATTGTTTATCATAACATATTACTCTACAGTAAAACCTAGAGAATATGCCAGAAGAAATGTTCTCCTGCCCTTGTCGGTATTGAATACCAAAATTATAGCAAGATAATTCCATCCTTCAGTGGAATATTTTGTCATTTTTTACTTTACTTTTGTGCCTTCTATTGAACATGTACATGATCGCTGGTCAGTTTTCACAATGAAATGTCTTCTGGTCAAATAATGCCACCAATGACAAACAGCTTTGATGATTGCCTGACATTTCTTCTCTATGGAAGTGTAATACTTCTTCGGGCCCTAAAATATCCTTAAGAAAGCAAGCAACTGAACATCCAACCTGAGAGAGAATCACCACAATAGCAACATCAGATACATCCATTTCCACTTCAAATGGTAATGACTTGTTATTCGTATAAACTACTAAGTTTTCAATGTCCTTCTTAAGAGCACAGAAAGCAGCTTCTGCTTCTTTTGATAGCAGGAGTGTAGTAGTAGCACTCAGAGGGTGAATTTTACTTGAATAATTGTGTATCCACTGAGAATAGTAAGCAAAAAGGCCAAGAGTTCAGCAAAGTGACTTTTTATTTCAAGGTAACAGAAGTTCATATAAGGGACAAAGTCATTCTGGGTTTGGATATTTCTTTCCACCCTCCACCACATA